AATCAGTGGTAAAATGCTAAAAAAAAATTGATGAAAAGATAGGAAACACAAGGGCAAAGGCCTTAGAAGTAAGGTTCAAAGAAGGGTTATCAACCCCTCTACCTTTAATGGCCTTAAACAACAAGTTTCAGCCCAAAAACACAGGTAATAAACATCTCAAAAATAGCAAGAAATGATTGGAAACAAGTTGTGTAAAGATGGTACAAAAAGCATTAGAAGGTATACCTCTTGAAGAGGAATGAACCCTTGAGTTACAAACCATCAAATTCACACTCTCAAGTGCCTCAAGAGCTAAAATTCAAGCCCAAATCACCTCAGCAAGGAACTCTCTAGGTTTGGTTTAGAGTGTTTAGCAAAGGCTATGTAAATTGCAAGAGACAGAGAGAATTTTGCTATTCCAAAAATATTTTCTCACTCCTCAATTTTTCCAACCTTGTAACCAAAAGGGGAGGTCATCTATATATAGAAAACAATGTGCCTATCTTGAAAATATCTGTATACATACAGCTGGAATTGTGCATGCACATGAGGGAACAGTTGGCAGAAAATATCTGATTTTTTGCACTAGTAGCCGGCAAGCCATTAATAGTAGGTGGCCTGCCACCAATAGTGGTCGGCAGCCCACAGTAGTGGGCGGCAAGCCACACTAGTGGACAGTAGGTCACTGGAGGCACATGCCTGAAAAACCACTGTTTTGGTCCAAAACAAGGCACAATGTTTGAAGGTTCAAAGTTGACGTTTCCAGCTGAGGAAGTCAAGCATTCGACAAGTGTACACATTCATCATTGAGTGATTAATCAGTGGTACCCAAGTCTTAAGGACGGTAAAAAATAAGGTGACTACAGTGATATATTAATTTAATTCACAATGAACATGTAAATAAATATAGACAAGGTACACAATTAAAATTTATAACTTCACAATTAAATTAAAATATGAGTAGGCAAGAGTTACAAAATAAACCTTTTAATTGGCAAGAGTTTTATATGACCTTATTACACATTGAACATGTACATAATTATAGACAAGTTACAAACTTTATAACTCCAAAACCTTCAATTAAAATTTTAAACATCAAGAGTTATGTAAAATTGTTACAAAACAATGATCATGTAATAATTCTAGCAATTAACATGTAAATAATTCTAGAGATTAAATCATGTAAGAAACATAAAAGCTAGAGAATAATTAACATGTCAAACTTGCATAATTTATAATCATTGAATTTCCAAGAAAGAAAAAAAAAAAACCAGTGGACTGAATAGATATAAAATTGAATATCTATAGGCATGCAAATTATATTGAAGATGAACAGGATATATAAAAATAAAAATAAAAAATGAAACAGTGGGCACAATGGAAAAAAGGAGCATGCAAATATGGTCCTTAGTTTATTTATTATTACATGTAACAGTGGGCTACAAATCCTAATCATGGATTTCATGTATGCAATTTGAAGAGAGGACTAGACATAAATAGCTTTGCATATATGAATCTATAATCATGCAGTATACCCCACACCAAACAACAACATGCACAGCCTAAGACTACAACAGTGGAAAGAGCACCCAGAAACATGAGCATGAAACTGTTTTAACATTTATTTACAATAAATCAAAACAGTGATATATAATATTTTCCAGGTGATAGATCTACGCAATGTATACAATTGCAAATTATTATACATCTATTCATTCTAATTTAGGGGAGAACAAATATTAATCTGTTTTAAGATTGTTGGACAAGTTGTGAAATTAAATAAATAGATTCATGATGAACTAAATTAAATTATATAACAAGAGCACATGCTGAAAATTACAACCAAATTAAACAGAAATACATAATACAATAAAATGGTATGGCACGTAAATCGAAACCTTTTTGATGCCACATTGTCCTTAAAATAGATTAGTCACCTCACCGTGTGTGCTGGAGGAACGTCGACTTCTGTTTCCCAGGATATGACGATTTAGTCAGGCTAACGCAGAAGCACCTTTTGTTAGTTTTGGCGAACCGACAATGGCTGCACTCTCTCACACAGGAAGAAAATTATAGACACAAGCAAACTGACCGTATAATTTTGAAAGGCAAAACTCTATACTAAAACCAAGGGAGATGGGTCTCCTGTCATACACCATGAGGGAGCGAGAAGGAGCCTCTAGTCATGAAGGCTAGCAACTAATGCCCATAAAGGCTGGCAACTTATGGCCATTACTCCTGCAAAACTGCTGGAGTAATGGACCAAAACTGATGGGAAAAAATATTTGAGATTTGTTTATACACAAGAGTGTATATCTGTAGCAGACTGGGCCTAAAAAGATTAGGTTGGTGGACCACCAATCCGACCTAGCCCAAACCTAACCCATTTTCGCAAGCCTCAAACCTCAAGATCCACGACCCATGGATAACGGACCCCGGACCCGAACCTAGTCCGGTCTGATCCAAACCCGGCCTAATCCGATCCGGGCGGGCGGATGGCGCGCACGTGTGTGGCAATTTTGTCATAACCAACTTGGACCATAGTCTTGGCCCAACCAAACCCATCCTTTAAGCATCCATAACTTCCTTCATTTGGAAATTTGGATGCCCCCAAGGGCTCATAACCTTATCAAAATCTTGAGATTTAAATACCCATCAAAACTTTCCTCTACAGTCAATGTGGGATTGGTAGTTATACACAATTCCCAATACCTCATTCATAAGGCCATATTTATGAGATAATTTCTCATTCAATTCTTAATGATTTTTGGTCATTCTTTTCGTGGTGTAAAGATCTTGTTACAAAGAATCTAAACCCATGTAATCCCACCTCAACCAATGGTGGGGACCTACTTTAATTTCACATTAAAGTCACCAAAAACCATTTTTTCAACAACTCGTTCCCAGAATATTGCCATGGTCAGACTATTACTAGCAATGGGATCTTAAGAGACTGGTAACCAAGATCTACATAAAATTTCATCTTCTATAATGGTGAACGCTTTACCACGAGAAACACGACATGTTTCCGAAATAAAAATAACATCAGTGTTCTGCTCTAAAGTTTGTGATTCCTTAAACATTTCAAAATCTTCCATAGTTTAAAGGTAAAATTTGTACAAATAAACAAGTTAAAAAAATAAAATAGGATACAACATTCAACACACAGTGAAAAATATTGTAAAAGAAACAAGTAAAAATTAAAGAAAGAAATGAAAAATTAGAGAACTATTGCAGACTAAAGATCACACAATGAGAGGATTGTAAAAGAAATAATTGACAAATGAAATAGAAAGTGAAGATTGAAGTTAACAATGACAAAAACCAAAAAAAAGAAATTGTAATGATATTATGTAATTCAAAAATAAATTAGTCTTATTTTATAGACCATAACAATGGTTACTTTGTGAAATCTCTGCAAAACCAACGATAACCTTATTGGAGTTGCACCCTGCAAAATGAACGGCTAATTTGTGTACAAATTGGAATCGAGATGCAATGCATTTGCCTTTGCTATTCATGCATCAATGTTGAAAAGGCATTTAGTCTTGGTGCCACAAAAAGCAAATAACTTTTGAAGCCTGTTGACAGTCCAAACCAATGCTCCGTTTTGGGAATTCTTGAAGTAATCGGATGACTGGGGGGACAACCAGCCAGATGTCCGGCCGGTCATTTGGTGTGTCCCATCCCCAACGATTTTGCACAGTAAACTGGTGAAATGTGGCCCAGATCCTTAGTTTGGTGAAACATTTGTTATTTTCTCAATTTGATACATGTTTGGTGAAACCATTGGAACACAAAAGAGATACTTTTTCACCAAATTTGAATTTGATGATGAATTTACTGAAGTGTTGAAGATGGCCTAAAATATGAGAGGAGAGAGAAAAAATAATTAATTGATTTATTAATAAAATAAAAAAAGAGAAAGGAGAGAGAAAAATTAATAAATTAAATATATTTTAAAATTTTTTGATCAAAATATCAATTTAAAAACTAAACCGAATGATGCTTAGACCATCTTCAATTGTTCATCAATTTTTTCATCAAATTTAAATTTGATAAAAAAATAATATTTTTCTTACTCCAATGGTTTCATCATATTAGTATCAAATCGAGAATATCAATTTTTTTTTACCAAATTGAGGACTCTCGGAAGCTTTCATCAAATTACTATTCGTAATCGTTGGATTTTCACCATTGGATGTCCCCAGATAACCACCTCTAGGCAAAAATTTGTAAAAAAAATACACTATCCAGTTGACCGGCCGAACATACATCCTGTCAATCGGTATTTTGATAAAAATTCAAAATCCTCTATTAAATTCTTAATATTGAATGAAGTTTTTATTCAATTTTTTTACTCAAATTTAATGAAAAAAAACCGTTGTAAATGTTGTGAGTGTTTAGAAAATTACTATTTTAATAGGTTATTTTAGTTTTTGACTATTTTAGTAGGTTAAAATTTTTGTGTTTAGAAAGATAGTTGATTTGTTTTGTAGTTATATGTGATGCTTGTGAGAAAAAAAGTGAAATGATTATGAGTTTGATGTAATATTTTGCTTTATTGACTATTTTAACCTATTTTATAATTTTATAAATTTTTGCTTAAAAAACTAAAAAAGTCTTTGCCAAACACCCCCGTTGTTAGTCTTTTGATATTGTGAGTGTTTGAGAAGTTGCTATTTTAGTAGGCTATTTTAATTTTTAACTATTTTAATAAGTTAAAATTTTTATGTTTGAGAAGATAATTGAATTTTTTTATAATTGAATATTATATTTGTGAGAGAAGAAATAAAATGATTATACATTTAATGTGACTTTTTATTTTATTAATTATTTAAACCTACTTTATCATTTTATAAATTTTTACCCAAAAAACCAAAAAAACCTTCGCCACACACCCAATTGTGGTGCACTGTGGACAAAACTGCTAGCGAACAAAACAGCTAGAGGGGAATGGATTAGTTTTTGGCTGGAAGTTGAGATTTTTTTAGCGTGACTGAAATAAAATAGAACCAATCACAAACGAGCGTCACAACGAGAAAAGTCAATATATCACACAGCTCAGCTCAATGATAGTCATCCGAAATGCAAACCACAACTCTCTCCCTACCTAGATTGCGAAACTCGATCGATCCTATCGATTTGATTTGATTGGCACTTTTACTTGTCAGGAAGTTGGAAAATATGGAGTCTGAGGTGCTATTGTTGAGAGACTACGCCACTAGACAGATCAATGCGTTGCTGTGGGTATCTCTCATCGCCATCACCGTTCTCTTGCTCCGAAAAGTTATCAGAATCTTCAGACTATGGTCCATCGCCAATCTCATCCCTGGCCCTCCTTGCCCCTCCTCCTTCTACGGCCACTCCACTCTCATTTCTGGACCTAATCTTACCGGTCAGTCACTTCTTTCAATCCATTCGTTTCTGTCATCCGTTTGGTTGGTGGGAAAATGATGAAAAATTTAATATATTTGAGTCCTTTCTCTGTGTTTCTGTTGTTTTTTTGACTATAGACAACAATTGAAAACTCTCAGATTGTTTTTATTTTTATATGCTGGTTATAAAAATTTTTCCCTCTGTATTGGGTTTCTTGCTGAGAAATTAGAAGAAAAGAAGAGAGGGACAAAGATTAGAGGGATTCTACTGTACCATATTGCATATATGGTGTTTTATGTAATTGATAAAACACTTTTCATCATGACCAAAGCAGCACTATATCACAACCAAACTAATGACGTCGATAACAAACCCTACAACGGTTATAACTCAAGTCATAACTGTCGGACCGAGTTCCATCCCTCTTTCCTAAAACCAATTGGTGACAAGAAGGGCATCGGTTATGTCTTTTATGGCATTCTACATCGGGAATTGGGGTTCCTGGCACAGCAGGCTGCTGTGAGGCCCATTAAGGGCGTGTCTCGAGTTTTTTCGATAATCCAAACAGTTCATATTATAAGGTTGGTCGAGTAGTCATCCATACAAAAAAATCAAATAATTTGGACATTTGTAGCCTTATGATAATAGCACATGTGTTTTTCAAAAAATAAATGGTTATCGTGATTTTAATAATTTTTTAAAAATAATTAGGACTTAATCATGGGTTACAGATGTCCAATTAATTTGATTTTTTATATGAATGATATAATTAACAAACTTTACAATATGAACAGTTTAGATTATCAAAATACACTCGGTAAATATCTCTACAGACCCTCATAGTAGGGCTGCTGTGCCATAAGGCACAACAGCAACCCTCAACCCTCGACATCGTGGCCTATTTTTAGAGCAGCAGGAAGTGGCATTGTGTACCAACAATAACCAACACCACAATCGTGGTAGCCAAAGATCACAAAAGGTGGGTCATATGGTACACCTTTTTTTTTGGGTGTGTATTATAGAGTTTTTTTGAAAATTAATGCCACTGTTTTCCTTGTTTTATTGTTTCATTTGTGATGAACATATTTTTTCTTGATTTCCTGCATTATTTATGTATCTTTTGACTCATTTGTGATGAACATTTTTTTTTTCTCGATTTCCTTTATTATTTAATGCATCTTTGGTTTTTTGATATGTTGGACTCGAATTTGAGTATTGTTTTAGGGCTTTTGGTATTTGAAAACAGAAAAAAAGAACCTACCGAGTATTCTATTTCTGATTTTTTTGTTTTTTTCCCCTCTCTTCCTAAAAGCAACTAGTGTTTAGGAAAGGAAACACTTTTAAATTGTTCTATGAAATTTTTTCTGACTATTTTTGCAAAAAAATAAAAATATATGAAAAGGTTGGTAGTTTTTGACTTTTCATTGTTTTTGTTTCTAAAAACACAAAAAACAAAAGCAAAAAAAAAAAAAACATAAAAAATGAAAACATACCAAACATTGTCTAGTTTTTGTGTGTGCACTTAGAATTTTTGAATTCTAAACTTTGTCTAGTTTCAGCTATCGAAATGACTTTTTGTTTTATTTATTTTGTGGAAATATCGTTATCATCAAATCAACTACAGCCCGTTAGATGCATAATGTGCCAAATTTTGGATTTAACGAATGATATTGGTTTTAACATTTTCCTATATAGTCAAATGCTGAATTATAATGTGTTTAAGTGCTTGTTTGGGATCCTCTAAAAAAGCTAAAAAGTCAAAAAATTACTAAAAAAGTAAAAAAGTCTATACTATTTGGAAGAAGTGTGTGGCGGAAGTTAGAGGGCAAAATCATAATTTTGCCCTTTGAATTGGTCAGACCAACCGTGCACTCAGTGTACTTGAAATCTACATTTCCCAAGTGGTGTTCCACGTGGCACAATGCAAGCCACCAATTCCCATTAAAAAAAAAAAAAAATTTAAAATGCAGTGTATTTGAAATGTAGTGTTCCACGTGGCACAATACAATATTTTAATACATATTTTTTCGTAAAAAATAAAAAAATTATTCCAAACATACATCTTTTTTTCCTCTACTTTTTTTTACTAAAAAGTGAAAAAGTGCACTTATATAGTTCATCCCAAACAACCCCCTAAATATCATTTGGTTTTCAGACCTTTTATCAAAATCACATGAGGAATATGGACCAGTCGTCAAGCTATGGTTAGGTCCTACTCAGCTTCTGGTGTCAATAAAGGATCCAGAACTCATCAAAGAGATGCTCTTGAAGGCTAAGGATAAGTTGCCATTGACAGGGAGGGCATTCCACTTGGCCTTTGGAAGATCAAGCCTTTTTGTGTCTTCTTTTAAAGAGGTACATTCTTACAACTCCTTCTCCTTTATGTGCTATTGATGTTTATTTGCAACTTAAGTGGAATGCTATTTTCGATTAGCACACTCACCAAAATTTTTAAATTTTTTTTAGATAATTGTTATCAGCTATCATGTAATTACGGGGTTGTAGCCTGTGTGGCTAGCCCTTTGGCCACCAAATCTCTCATGTGGAGAGGTCTTGGGTTCCACTCTTAGGAGTGGAATCTAGGAAGCATGGATACGGATACAACGATACGACAAAACATATAAAAGTAGAATACGGGTATGTCTGTTTGTAAAAAAAAATATTTTAAAAATTATTAGTAGTGAGTTACACATAAGCTCAAGAATGTTGAAAAACTATATTGTAATTTATAATGCAAAATACTAATATTTAAAAAAATTAGGCATTAATTAAGCCATTAGCTAGTTTATTTCTTAAAAAATTTCAATAGGTTTTACAAATATTTCATTTAAATATCAAGTCTAATATGTTTATATTACAATTGCTAATCATGCCCATGTGTTTTTCCTTTTTAAACTAGTGAGAAATGTTGTATGCAAGTTTATTTATAAATTATACAATAAGGATACGCCAATTTAACAAATTCTATTACTTTTAACTTACTATGTTCTTCTTATTAGAGAACTAAGCGAAGTATTGGAAAAATATTATTGTATTTATACTCACAATTAAGGTAATTATAATACTATGCAAGAAATATTACAATTCTAATTTCGTAAACAAGTAATATGTGACTTGGAGTACCCGATACTTCAAAAATAAGTATCCGATACGTATTTGGGAGTATCCAAGGAGTATCAATATCCGATACGGATACGACACGGATACCTCTTCGTTTTATAAGTATCTGTGCTTCATAGAGTGCAATGAGAGGTAAGACTTAAGTGCTTGCAAGGAGTGACTGTGAGTTCAACTCCCTCTAAGTGCCAATCTAACAACTAACCATTGTCTTTCGCTGACCAAAAAAGCTATCAAGGTTATGGCCTTTCATACTCTATATTGTCAACTAAAACTGGGATCTGGATGACAAACTTAAGATCTGGTTGACGGGACTTGGTTGACATTCTTGGTTGACCAGAGTTGAGGTTAAATACTGTTTCAATTTCTTCTATTCAACTTAAGCCAACTCCTCAAGTTTTAGGTGGGATTAATATGGTTTTCTTTTAATTTTTTGTTTTTGCCACCAAGTTAACAATTTCTAATGTTAATCTGTAGTTGTTAAATTAAACTTCTGTGCATACTTAAGATTAACAAGCATTCATTTCATACATTTGACATATATGTAGGAAGGATAAAGTGCCTGACATGTAAAGAGATAGAACACAAGGGGTTATAATGGTTTAACTACTTGCCTACCTCCACTCCTGGTTTCTCTAACCAGCATACTCCGGTAATCAAAATTATTTTCACTGGGAACACCCAAAACCTTTACAATCATGCCTTCAAGTGTTTGCCCTACGAAGCACTCTAAACCTTCTTCACATACAAATGGGTTTAGGCTCACCAAAACCATAACATAACCCTTCACTAGATTATACAAATCTGGAAAACAAGGACTTCAAAAACAAGGAAATACCATACCCCAAAAGTCCCAAATTTCTCTAAATGAGATTAGTGTGTTGTGTGTGGGACAATAATGTAAGATCTACAAGGGATGTGAAACTATCTCTTGCAAGTGGAAAAAACTCAGAAGACTCCCTGGAGTAAGTTCTTCACAATACATTTGCTTGAAGAGCACTCTCACTCCAACACTCGCCTCTTTTGGAAACATGCTATTTTAGTAGTTTTTTGGCTTTTTACTAAAAGATGTACAAAAAAATAGAGAGTGATGTGACAACTTATACTAACTTTTTCGTTAAAATATGTAGTTGCCAAACGAGGCCAGTCAAGTGTAAAGTATTGAAAGGTCTATAGAACCCCAATGTCTTCCACTCATCAAAGATCAATGTAAAGTATTAAAAGGCGTCCCAATACTTTAATGCAAAATACTAATAGTAAATTTATAATGCAAAATACTAATATTTAATATTGTACATAAGCTCAAGAATGTGGAATGATTTTTCGGATCATTTACTAATATTTACATTGATTTATGATTGTATACTTACATACACAGAAGACTTTGGCATTGATATCAAATACTTCTGAGTTTTTTCCCAATGTTTATATAAGTTTAGGTACTTGAACTAATAGTTGCTAATAGTCTATTCCTAAAATATTAATAACAAAAGTATTTTCCCATTGTTTATACAAGTTTTGGTACTTGAACTAATAGTTGCCAATAGTCTATTCCTAAAATATTAATAACAAAATGTTCCAAAGTATCATAATCAATGCTACAATATCAAAATACTAATCTGAAAAAAAAAAAATCGAAATAAACAACGGTGTATAGAAAAGTTTTTGTTTTTAATTTTCAAAATCTTTTTAACAAAAATCCTTTAGAAAAAAAATCCATTATGCTAGTCTCTTCCCTTTGTTCTTGGAGAATGAAGAGTTCCACCTCTTTGTTGAATGAAGCTAGAAATTGAGATTGTTGAGATTTCATTCGAGGCGTTGGATTAGAAAAACTAGCTAATGATGTGGAATTTTGACCATAAAATCTCGAACCACTTAAGATATCTTGATCTCGGGGTCTTTCATCTGATTGCTAGTGCTCTTATTGAGTATTGTCCTCCAAAGATTGCCCCACATGTCATAATCTCACATGGGTATCATCAATCATCATATCCTCTAGATCAAAATCTCATTTTTGAATGGTCCTTCTCTGTAGTTGTCTTGAAATTGTGATAATAACCAAATGTTGGAATGAATAAAATCTAGCTTGTTAGCTCCTGATGCATATTGTATGTTTTATTTTAAAAAAAAATCAAAAGAACAGATAAATAATAATTAATAAAATAAAAAATTAAATTAAAATAAAACTTATTTATTTTAACATTGTGAATATATGAGTAAGTTATCTAATTTTTTTCCGTATATGATGTAGTGATTGGTTGGGTTAAGACATTTTCTGCAACTTTTGCTAGCTCTAGTGTTTTTGATCCATATGTTGCCCACATTCTATAACATCAACCAAACTGCAAATGATGTAGTGATTGGTTGGGCTAAGACCTTTTTGCGCAACTTCTGCTAGCTCTGGCGTTTCTGATCCATATGTTGGCTACATTGTATAACATCCATCGTAGAAGCATCAACAAAGGTAACAATTGTAAAAAAAAAAAAACCATTTTTGCATATGAAAACCAACAAATTGCTTGTTTAACATTATCGTTTTTTCAAGGTATGAGTCAATGTTTTCAAATGCTTTTAAAAGTTCAACTGTCATCTCTTTATCTTCATTAGGCCTCTTTCTAATGGTTCCTCTAGGGGAAGGATTACTTATGTAAGTAGAATCATAAAATTGAGGTGACAAAGCAAATCCAGGTCTGCATTGATTGGGACATTCATTCTTTCCCATCTACATTGCACTATTGCTTCAATCTGTGTATATGCCTCTCTGTACTTGTTATCGTTCAAACCATCTTTAATTTCATCAAACATATTATCCATCCTCGTATATTTCACCCATAATTGGACCATTTTTTTCTCACAAAACTTAATTAATTTCTATATTGGTTTTGTGATTGCCACACATTATGCATCTAAAAATCATCTCTCCCTATATATTCACTAATTAGAGCACCCACATCTCTTGTATTTTCATCACCACTTTTCATCAATTCCTCCCATGAATTTAAAACCATCGTTCTTGCTAAGGCCTCTCTTACATTAACGAGTTGTTTACTTGGATGACATCAGAAGGGCCCACTTTATCAATTGCTTGCAATAATTTGCAATATCGACTCCCAATTTCTCAACTCTAGCATAGTCTTCAACATAAGAGAACATAGCACCACACCTAGATATTGCTAAAATATTTATTAATTGTATTTTTCTTCACATTTGACCACCCATTAGAAACAATTGATACTCCATCTGTGTACAACGTATCCTTTACAGGAATCAATTCTTTTTCTACACTTGTTTTTACTTCATCTAACAAAGTGGTCCGTGCCTTTTCGAAAGATGGTGCTTTGTAACCCAAAGGGTGCCCTATTGGTGGCTGTCACCATTTGACAAAATTAAGGATTCTAAGAACATTAAAAGGAATTCTATTTCCACATTATACACTTACAAAAGCGGCTAAAATATTTATACAAAGGTTGCACCTATTTTGGCATTTTTGACTTAGAATACTATTTTACTTGTCAAAAAATAAAAATAAATAAAAGTTAACTGTTACTCAAATTTTTATGTTTTTTTTTATAATATTTTGCGATTTTTGTGATTGTCACCTATGTATTGCATCCACTGTTTAGTCTCTTATAACTTTACTTAAAATATATCTTTCTCCAATAGTATTTAACTAATAATTATGACCGATACCACTTTCATATGATGTCAATATATTATTGCTATTTTTGATAAAATTATACTAGTTGTATTCATCTTTCTAGTGCCATAATGTAGTTCACCTTTTCTTTTTATTTTGTTATTGTTCAAGAAACTTTGTTTCTTATATTTAGTTATTGGATTCATACTTTTTAACTAGTTATATGTTAATGTTACTTCCATTGTTTCTTATATTATATGTTGTATTTACACTTTATTCACTAGGTATTATTGGCTCAACAATTACCTTGTACTGGTTTACTAGTTATTGTTGTTTCTTATATGCTTATATTATATGTTGTATTTACACTTTATTTACTAGTTATTATTGGCTCAAATATATGCTTAGACATTCTGCATACTATTAGATAACTTGATATACATTGTTGGACCCATTTCCTAACAGCTTAGGCTTTTGGGAAAGTTGGTGACTTAACACAGATCGAATGTATGCTTCGATTAACAAATGTCCCATGAGCTTCAGTTCTCTAGATATTCTACATACAGAGATCAGGGATTTGCTCATTGGTTGTTTTGATAAT